CTGATGTTGACCTGAAAATTTGTCTACCTGACCTGGATTTTTCAGGTCGGGTCGGGTCGGGTCACAGGTTGACCTGATCTGATTCGGAGCTCTAAACACAATGGATAGAATAGTGAATGTAACATAATAAATATATTAGAGTGAAAAACTGCAAATACACTTGTACATACGTTTTATTTCTATGAAATAGTGGAATTTAACTAATTGTTGCAAAAAAACCGTTATTTTTAAAAAAAAATTTTTTCACACTTATCATGTACTGTAACAACTTTCATGTTACATTATGTTTATCACAGATTTGTTTATTAGTGTAGCACAAAATTTCAGTGACGTGATGCGTACAGACAAACAGACTTCACCACGTGACATGGTTACACTTAACATTCACAAACATATATAGTCCTCCGCTTCGCTCCGGACAAAAAGTAATTATATATAAAAATCCCGTTAAAAATCAAAAATAAAAAATATATCACAAAATCTTTGATTATTTTTGTGTCGTACATTTAAAAAAATAATGAAAGTCTAACACGTGATGTGTTTGCATCACCAGTGTCATACCCTTCGTATTCAATTTTCAGTTAATAAAATGTGCACCAAAATTAATTTCAGACGAATGTCATACTTGTGATATTATGTGAGAGACATTATTTGCTTAGCTTGTATCACAGCACTTTTATTTTCCAAAGTATATTTTATAAATTTGATCAATAGTAAATACATGAATCTAGTGTCACACATAATTATTAAAAGTAAGAAAATTCAAGGAAGTGTAGAAATTTTTTGTGTCAGAACCTAGATCAATGATTAATTAGGTCAGATGCATAAGCTATAATGTTAGAATATCTGATGTTCATCGAGAATCAATTTTTATTTAAGAGAGTCAATTGCAGGAGTTTTAGAAGAAGATATTACATTATCTGTACGAGATATTAAATTAATAAAGTTTCGTACGTTTCATTACAATATGATCGTGATGAAAGAAAAGCTAAGGTTTGGAAGTTGATTTCCAATTAATAGTACGATTAGATGTCTTGGAAGGCTCATCAATGCTTAGCATGGATAAAATCACAGAATAGGATTATTGAAACCATCAAAGCGATAAGTGTTATTACAAATATCCCAAAGAGGACAAATCATTTTATGCAGATTCTGCTTATCCACCAGATAATCAAAATCTTTACATAACTACATGAAATTATTTTATTCTGATTAAACCACAGGAATTCATACATGTAATTGAGATATCCTGCATTAGAAATTTTAGACAATTATAAGTTCTAGATTCGGTTTGAGATTGTGCTGCAATAGATGCTGTAATCTTTGGACTAGGTGGCATAGTTTTAAAGTAGAAATACTGTAATTCGAATGGTAAATAAAAAATATATATTTATATTTTCTTTATCTTTATTATATTGTATTAATGTTCTTTTAACAACTAGGCTAGATAGCATAATTTTCATAG